AAAAAATAAAACTGGACTGTCAAAAAAAATAAAACTGGACTGTCAAAAAATAAAACTGGACTGTCAAAAGATAAAACTGGACTGTCAAAAAATAAAACTGGACTGTCAAAAAATAAAACTGGACTGTCAAAAAATAAAACTGGACTGTCAAAAAATAAAACTGGACTGTCAAAAATTAAAACTGGACTGTCAAAAATTAAAACTGGACTGTCAAAAATTAAAACTGGACTGTGACCCTTCTGGGCCATCGTACAAATCCCTCCAAAACTTTTAGTGCAGTTCTACCGCAAACGGTGTGTGAATTTGTATATACATTGGGCGTAATAGCCATCGAATTTCTTTTGGGTACATTAAGCAAGGAATTGAAGGCAGCCATTTGCTTTCTTTCTTAAACCTTGCGCTTTAGGGTTCATTGTACGCATGCGTTGTAGTGGAACAGCGTTTTGTGACTGAACACACACAAAAAAATAAAAACACAGCCGAATTTATACCTCGGGCGTTTCCTTCGGAAAGCCCGAGTAATAACGGAAATTATAATATCGCGTTTGCTTAGTGGGGAACTTAGAGGCAAGTTCAGACTACATAGAGTTTGTCTGACTCGAAGTCCTTTACAGGATATGAAAACATGATAATTTCACTTCCTAGAAAACCAGAAATTTGAAGGAAGAACTTGACTCAGATGTTTTATAAAAAATGAATTTGCAATATGAACCGCATTTTCTTCATTTGAGACATTTTGGTATACTCCTTATCAAGTTTACATTTGAAATGGCGAACGTTCCATTTTTGTTGTTCTTGTTCAAGCTTGTTGAGGCCGCTCTGCCTTTGCCTCGAAAAGCTCATTTTTTCAACCACAAGCAAAATTTAGGACTCCGCACCTTAATAATATACATGAGATTTAAGTTTTTCTCGAAGACAAAGGGTGCTTTGTCTGAAGGGATGCCGGAATGTATTTATTTACGACGTTAAAGTGACTCAGATCAGTCGATCGATCGATCGATCGAATAAACTGATTATTCACAAACAGTCTGCTATTTCGTGTACTTCTTAATTTTAAACCTTTCCACAGTTTCTATAAGAAACTTAATGCGGCGTTTATCAAAAATAGTATGTCGCAAACTGGTTTGCAATTTGCTTTGTTTTTACTGTCGGCGTAAAATCTGAACACTAATGCAAAAACTGGTTGTCAGTGCCGCAGCAGATACGGTACGGTGAATCTGTACTACGGCTACCTTAGCCGCGATGGACTAGAGTGAGTACGGCGTATTTCCCGCCAAATACGAATCGTTAAGCTACAGCGACACTACGGCGGCAGCTTAAGGGCGCAAAGCGTTGTTGTGGAGTCATTTTATTGGCAAAAATGTCATCCTTCAAGGAAGCAAGAGAGTGAATCCGTCTTTGTTATGAGATGAATTACATTTATGATGACGAATTTCTGTTGCTTTACACTAGCTACGAATCACAAAACTTAGTACTTCCGTATGACTCGTTCTGAGTTTGACCTCGAAAATTTTTAGTGACGACGAATGTTTGGCACAGTTTAGATTTAAAAAAAACGGACATAGCAGCAGCCAGGGAGTGTTTATGACGGAAAAGAAGCTTTAAGTATGCTGTTAAAACGCATGTGTTATCCATGTCGGTAGGGCGACATAGTTCATTTGTTCGCCAAATCTGTTCCTGTTATCAGCATGCTAACAAATGAAGTGTTGGATTACATTTATGCAACTCACGGTCATCGTATTCAACAATGGAACCATCAGCTGCTAACAACCAGGAAACTAGAAGAGTACGCCGAAGTAGTTCACAGAAAAGGAGCACCACTGGATAACTGCTTCGTGTTTGTCGACGGAACTGTTCGCCCTATATCTAGACCAGAATGCAACCAAAGAATCGTCTACAACGGGCATAAACGTGTCTATGCTATCAAATTTCAGTCAGTCGTAACCCCAGACGGAATGATTGCTATTATGTTCGGACCTGTTGGTCTGGGTACTGTTGGTTTGCATTCCAATCTTTAGTGATGTTTTCTTACATGTGTTTGTATGGTTTTTGTATTGACCAATAAAAATGATTTATTGTAAGAGTGTTGAAACAGCAAATGCAACTGTTTACGACGCAGTTACTAATTCTGAGTTATAAATTAACGTTGTATTTTTCAGAGGGAAGAAAACATGATGCTGGAATGTTGGCAGATTCAAACCTGTTGGTAGATCTAACCCAATATGCCCTTTCGCCACCTGGACGGCCTCTATGTATAAACGGTGACCCGGCTTATCCTTTGCGAGTGAACCTCAAAGCCCATTCAGAAATGCAGGTTTGACTCCTCAGTGGGAGGCATATAAGCCATGAGCTCCGTCAGGTCTTCTGTGGAATGGTTCTTCGGAGACATTATAAACTATTTCAAGGTTTTACATTTTAAAAAGAAATTAAAACTTGTTTAAGCTCAATAGGGAAAATGTATTTCATTTGCGCACTTTTAAGGAACAGCCTTACTTGCTCGTATAGAAATAACACATCTAATTTCTTTTAGTGTAACCCCCCCAGACCTTTTTACTTACTTTGCATAATATTGTGGGTTTTTTTTTTTTCAATTGAATGGAAAGAAAGTATAACTGTGAGAAACCCAACAAAAATTTACTCCTACTTGAGAAATAGAAAATTCAAAATGACACTAAACAAAGAAAATCAGTAACTTGAAGCTGCAATAAATTTGCAAGAAAGAGTAAATCAATCCATTGTCAATCTCTGTTAGGGAACTAAGTTACTATTTTTTCGCAAGTCTTTCTAACAACACCATCATGGCCTGTGTCTGCTGTTGCTGCAAAAAAGCCATTTGAAGTGTTTGCATCTGATCTTGTTGTTTTGCCATGTTTGTAATCATGGCCTCCTGGGTTTTAAACATCTGTGCTTGCCTCTCTTTTTCGTTTTCAACTTCTTTTGCTTTCAATGCGAGCTCCTCTTCGCGGATCTTAAGCTCCTTTTCTGAATTTTCCCGTAGAAATTCGGCAACATCAGCTCCGCTTCTTCGTTGCCTTTTCGCTTTTCTGTCACAGTCCTCATTAGCCCTTCTTTTTGTTTCACCAACTTTTTCCAAGGCTTGAAAACGCGTCTCCTCGGCTCTTTTACGATCTATTTCGACACTCCTGCTGCTACAGGATTCTCTCGTTGATTCTGCTAATTTCTCTCTTTCAGAAATTTCTTCCAACAGTGCGTCGAGCTCTGTTGGTTCGCGAGATATGCCACTTGCATTTTCTTCTTCTCTACTTTGCTGTCGAAATCTTCCGAGTAGCAAGTCAAATCGCTCTCTTACCGCTCTTTGATTCACTTTGAATTTGACTGCAGTTACACTGTTGAGGTTCTCGGAAATTTGCGTCCAAATTCTTCCTCTCTCATTACTCCCTTTCTTGAACTTCTAAAACTCCTGTACCAAAATTTCTCTGCACAGCAACACGTCGTGCGCTGTTGTCCACTCCATCCGCCTGTTGTAAAAATCAAATTAACCGAAATAAATAAACATTCTAGTAACTTGTTACACGTATCAGTATCCACCAGCTTAGTGCCGGATAAGCAAACCGAAGAACTCAACTGAGTCAAAAAGTATAAAACAAACGAAAATGATAAGGAAATACTTACGATTGCCGCTTGGCAGTGTTGGCGGCGGAACCTGAAGCTGTCCCTGGTTTTGACATCTTTTTTCTACAAATAAATTTTGACCAAATTGCGTTTATCCAAGATTCATCAATTAATTTAATCACAATGAAAAAATTCAAATAATTAAGACTTCAAACAAAATATTACGGCAAACTCTGACGTACTCACCACTTCGGGAACGAAGTGATTATGCCGTCGCAGATGGCAAGAGTACGGCGTGAATTCCCGCCTTAGACACGCGCAGTCCGACAAGTTGTAAGTGTAGACTTCCGGTCGCCGTAGTAGAGCCTGCATCTTAAAGTCCCTATTTAAATGATCTTGTGTCTTCGGTAGTAAAGGAACAAAACAACATGGATTGTCCGTTTACAGCTCACTTTATTTCAGGTGATGAAGCCCGCTTTCTCTGTATCAAATGACTTACAAATACTTCAGAGGATCTAGGAAACTTTACAGTAACTTAAAGACATACAAACATCAAAGATCGAGTATCTCAGGATCAAATATCAAGTTAACCCCCTCAGGGAAAAAGTTGTGTGATTCCCCACTATCTGATTGGTCGAGAGTGTAGCACGGGTCTCTGGACCATTCACTGAGCGGTTAAATACATGTAAAAGTCCTCATTCAAGTAGTCTGCTACACAGCCGTTCTTAGGGTCGTCACGCAACGCTCCTCCCTCGTTGCGTGACGACCCCAAGAACGGCTATGTAGCAGACTATCATGCGAGGGAACACGCGTGTACAGGTCGCACTACGATCTATCTCCACATCTGACCGGTTGAGAGTGTAGTGCAAATTTTCCAGACCAGTCGCTGAGCGTGGGGAAGAAAACCAAAGAAAAACTTCAACCTAATCGCTTAATTAACATTCAATCGAATACTGCTCCATAACATAATATAAATAACGAGAAGTGCCTCCAACGTATATACAACTGTCTTTTGATTTTGGCTTTGTGCTATATTATTACACAGTTCTAGCGTCTTGAATGTATGGCAGGAGAAGTATTTCCCAACAATGTTCGCAAACGAACAATTTCTTCTTGGTATCTGCAATATAAAAAGAGAGAGGGATAAGATGGAGAGAGAGAGAGGGATGAAAAGCTCATAAATGACCCATGACGCTGTGAACATCGCCAGAAAAGTCGAATCAAAGTGGATAGTACTTATTTTGATGCGCTCAGCCGTATCAAATGAGCTGTCGATCACGACTTTGTGTTTTCGGACATCTGATTGGCTCACGCCCCGAACGACATAGAGCACATTCTTTCTTTACTATTTAACAAATGGTAAACACCACAGCGTACACTATTGAGTTATGGATGCACGCGGGAGGTTTCTAAGTACGAAAGAAGCGTAAGAGTCGCTCGAGGCGATAGCCGAGAGCGACTCTTGCTTCTTGAGTGCTTAGCAAACCTCCTAAGTGCATCCATAACTCAATAGTGTACGCTGTGGTGTTTACCATTTGTTTTATAACATAACATTAACACATTGTGGCTAAAGAGTTCCCTTTTATAACAAATCTTACGTGACCAGAAAAAAACAAGCGCGCGCGGAAAAATAGTCTTTGCATTTGCTCACGTCAGCAGCGTACACCCATGGGCAAATGGGGACGCTAAATTGACCAATCAGAGCGCGCACTTTACTTTGGTTATGTTATAACTGAAAATGGCGGCTTGTGCTAGAAGGGAGAAAGGTCTTTACGCAGCTTTAAACAGCGCATCAACAGCTGACGTTCTCCCTCGCAGTGTCAAAAAGAGAAGAAAAGCATCGAGCCAAATGCGGGAAGTAGAGCGTCTTATCGCTCGAAGGGAAAGTGCTACGGTGAGTTAAATTCTTTCGGAAACATTTCGGGCAAAGCAAATAGTCTAGCCTATCACTTAATATAATTTTACCCCTCGTTTACTTGTAAAGGATCGAAGCCCAAACAATTGTCCTCGTACAAGACTGTCTCAGTACATATCGCTACTTGCATAAGTGAAGGAGAAGTTTAAATTAACATCTCGGCATTTTGCTTGTGCTTTTATAACGCAGGGTACTGAGTACTTAGTTTTATGGAAGGGATATTCTCCTTATGACTCTAGCTGGGAACCGGAGGAAAATGTCACCCTCGATTGTATCCGGTATGATGGGCTGACTTTTTCTACAATTTTAATCTTACTAAACGTTCATAATTCCTTGAAACAACCTTATTAAGAAATAGAAAAGACACTTATTTTTCATACAATATGTTGATCAACGAAGTAATTCTCTCTACTAATCCTTTACTTAGTAGTAGATAAGTTAGTAGATAAGGTTATTTCTCACATTTTCGCAGAAAATCTGAATTACAATGTGGTTACAATTATTTAACAAATGTATAAAATTACATGCGTGGATAGGGACTGGGCTACAATGGGTTTAGAAATACAAGATAATTAATTAAATACTTAAAAATTAACATTTAACTATGTGGGTATGCAAATATATATAAAAAGAAACTATTATTTGTTGAAGGCTAAAATAATCCTTGGGAAAAAGCTGCGCGCAGTCTTTCGGTCCTGCATTTAGTCACTGAAAAATTGCTAGCGTTCCTCAATTGATACTGATTCACTTGCTTTCTTTCTTTCGGGAGATGTTTAAAAAGTGGCCCTCCTCTTGAGATGTTTTCAAGAGTTTTAACACAGAGTTCACTACGTCTTTCAACTAATGTTCTTAAGTTAATGAATTGCAGAGCTTCTGGGTAAGATAAAGTAGGTACTATGATTTTGAGAGCATGCTTCTGTATTCGTTCTAGCTCTTGTGAAAGGTAGGAGGGGAGGGCGTGGTGCCATACTACACAGCAATATTCAAGAACGGATCGTATCAGGGAGATATAGATAGTGGTTAAATCATTCATCTCCACACCCCCTCGACAGAGTACTCTGAGTATGTGTAGGCGTTTAGAAGCCTTGGTGACAGTAGCTTCAATGTGATTGTTCCATTTTAACTTATTCTGAATCACCAGGCCAAGTACTTTGTGTGAAGTTACAAGCTCTAATTGTTGATCGCCGATCTTCAAATGAGGGAGTTCTACTCCACTATTTTACGTGCAGATTACTAACATGTTATCATTTTAAATCAATGTTCTTTTTTTCAGTAGCATTCATAGCTTTTGACTTGTGCTGACATTCTGTGTAACATTTCATAGTATCATCAAAGTTATAGCTGCTGGGAGTTTTTATTCTTATAATGTTCAACTCAAAATAATGTTTTTTAATATCTTCTTTCTTATTTTTGTTTCAGATTATTTGAGAATCCATCCCCAGCAGAGTTAATAGTATTTGATGATTGTACAACTCTTCGAGTGGCGGTAGAGCAGCACTTAAAATCTGAAACAAGGTTACCTGTAACAATTAAATTCCGAGGGGATGTGTTCAGGTGCCTTTTCAAAAACAAAGGCATTGTGCAGGATGGTTGGCATTTGCTTGGCAAAGCTGACTTTCCTGCCAAGTTCTTTCCCGAGTTTTGGGATCACTGTGCAGATTCCCATGGCCAGGGAATAAAAGTATTTTATCCCATGAAGGTCAAACATTTTATTTCTTGGTCAATAAGGAAATACAATGTGGAGGATTGCAGTCCATCTCCAAGGGCTTTTCAGGAGAAACTTACCTTCTCCTTCATTAAAGTAGCTCTTGGACATGCCTCTTAGCCCATTTACTCAAAGACTTCTCGGAATTATGTGTCAGGCAATACATTTATTTTTGTGTCTCTGTCCCTTGAGAAAACGAATGGAATTGTCTGGTTATTCCAGTATGAAGGAAGCTCCTCAGATTTGTTTACATTCTACACAATAAAGTTTTGGATTTTTTAAAAAATATGACCGGTCTGGTCTTGAGAGTAAAGGGGTTAAGGAAATATTGTTAGGGTTACATCCTTACATTGTATTTACATGAAAAATTCTGAAGGGTTTGAAGCATGTGGCTTTTTTGGTCTCCATCATACTAGCCTTACAATATATCTATATATCAGGGATGTAGCAAAAGTTTTTAACAGGCGGGAATCTAGCAACGACAGGTGGGTATTTGGGCCAAACGCCCACTATAGCGTGCCTTTGGCGTCCATTATTTTGCATACATGAAATACAAATACCGCTGACCATTGAGCCTGCATAATGGACGACTGTTTACTATCCTTTCTGTTTCGGTGAGACAGCAATGAAGGTGTAAACAAACGAAATAAATAAATAACAATCTCGTGACAACATTTAAAAACATTTTGGAGAAGGAAGTTGTGCTTTACAGCCGGAAAAATTGCGTTCACAGCCGGGTAATTTTCCTGGCTTCCGGCTATTATCTACATCCCCGTATATATATATATATATATATATATATATTGTGGGAGGAAAAAGACACGTAAACTACAAGTTCATCCCTACAAGCCTGTTTCGTGGTCGCCCACTCATCAGGGGATTCCCTGATGAGTGGGCGACCACGAAACAGGCTTGTAGGGATGAACTTGTAGTTTACGTGTCTTTTTCCTCCCACAATATATACTTCGCTCTACTTCTATGTATTGAGCACTGTTCTACGAAAATCAAGTCACACTTTATATATATATATATATATATATATTTTTAATTATTTTAAATTATTTATATATTTTAAATTATACATTTTTTTTTACTTGTAAAGTGTTATCTTGAGAAACATCAGACTGTGAGCTTTTTTGTATTAAAGTCTACAAGATATGTTGTCATACTATGTGGGTCTTTTAATCTCAAGCAGTCAAGCTCAAGTCCAAAAAATTTACTGGAGTAAAGAGCCTTTTGTGCTCTCGTTTTCAATTATTTTAATTTCTTATTTTTTACTTGAGTTAACTGAAGATTTGGAACAGCTGTACCTCTCACTTGGCAAAACTGATCTTTCTCCAGTTGCCTTGTGTATTTTTTTATTGCTTCATTTTCCTTTTGGCAAGAGGTCATAAGTTCTTTTTCCTTAAGCATTTCCTGGAATAGGTCTTGTTTTTCTTTTTCAGCGTCCTCATATTTATTCTTCCATTCCTCAATTTATGGGCTTCTGCTACTTCCAATTTTTCTAAAGGGTGTTTATTTGCGATTTCCCGTATTCCACTGACACAATATCTTTTTCCAAAACTGCAATAGTTTTCCACTTTTCCAAAAACTCCTGTTGCTGTTTGATGGTACCCATTTTGTTGAAATATTTTCTTTTATTTTCAGCCTCAATACAGCTACAGGCTTTAGACAACTGTGATTCAAGCCTTGCACTTGCGCTGTTTAGACGAAATGCAGTTCCTGGTATATTCAAATTTACTAGGTCAATATACCGTACCCCAGCACCGAGGGTTCCTGAAAGCAGATATCTTCTCCAGGTGGCAAGGGCCTCTAATTTCACGACCTCATTGTCTCTTTGACATTACTCCTTGACATAATTAAACTGTGTATTTTGGCACTCCACTAGGGAAAGAATTTCTTTTGATTGAAAGACAGACGACATTTCGAAAATTCGCTTGGTGCATGTAGCATAAACAATACAAACGTAATAACATTGGCACACCTATGAACTTTCTTTGAAAAAACCCGCGAAAAGTTCGCAGAAAGTATGGGTAATTTCAGCTCCAGTCTCCCTAGGTAAAATCAATGCTTTACTTTAACGCCTGGGGAATTGTTTTGTTAAAAATGGCGTACTCGAAGGTGAAAGCGGCAGCTTTTCTCTCTCGAATCCGCCATAGAGTGTAGGTTATGTCGCGTTTATCGGAGCGACAAGTGTTTTCAGCTTTGAAAACCGAACCCATCTAGTGAAGAATCGACGAGATATTGTGCACTAAAACGAAGTGATGTTGGAATTTACTAAATGGATAGAAGGTAAGGTCGGTAGTGTTTACGAAGTAGCAGGAAACAATAATGTAGTTTGAGTACATTTAGCGCTTTGCCCCAGGGTATTTCAAAATGGCGTCATAAAATGTTACTTTACAAAATTCGTGAAACCAAACCGAAAATGATGAGTTTTCTCCCAAAACAAACTTCGAAACAAATTTTAGCAACAGTAGTCTTACACTCAATAGGAGTTAGCTTGAGCAGTTTCAAATATTTTTATTAATGAAGGAATAAAAAATTACTCTTCATATGTTTTCAGTAACACGAGAGACAAATCAGCGCTTCAACTGCGCATGTCGCTTCGACTTTTCTGGCGATGAATTATAAAGCTTCGCCCCTGGCTCAACCCCGGCCCCCCTGTCAGACACACACACAGCCCTCCCCGTCACACACACTCATACACACAGACCCCCCCACCCCGTCAGACACATACACACAGTCCCCATCCGCCACACACACATACACAAAGCCCCCCGTCACACACATTCACACAGTCCCCCCCCGTCAGACACACACATACACACAGGGGGGTAATGTCTTTGCTTCATCAGCACAATCAGCCTGTTTCATCAGTGCCTCCTAGTCAAAGCAGGGAAAAAAGATTCTGTGGCCAACAATCAAAGCAAGGAATTCTCATTAGATAATCATTAGTACCTTTTCAGATTTGTGTCTATGTAGTGCTGAAGCCGCGCAAGTTGTTCTTCCGCCATAATGCAACGTGTCATCAGTGAAGCGCGCTCACTTTCCAGGTCTTGCTGAATGGAACAAAATCAAAAATGAAAAGTATTTTTATCACGCTTTAAATAAATTAAGACTGACCTGAAAGATTTCAGCAGTTAGGCCACAATGTTTGTTGCCCTCTTCTTCCGACCACCCAGAAATCATAAAATAATAGTTTGGTAAGATAGATAAACTTATCAAAGGGGAAACTAAACTAAGGAGGAACGATAATGGCTAAAGATGGAAGAGATTGACACGGATTGAAAAGCCAGTTGTCCGAGATTGGTGGAATCAGGAAGAAGTCATTGTCTTGTCGGTACCTGAGTATTCAGGGTGAACTCGCGAAGTTGCTTTCGGAGGTAGCCCCAACCCATCTCCACTGTTGCCTGACCTGCTGGTAACAACCTAGCAAAGAAAACAGACGCTTTAAGAAAACTTATTGGATTGGACTTATCAGAAATCATTGCAAGGAGCTCGTATGAAAAACAAATCCGCAAACGATATCGGCGTTGTGTCTTGCGATAGGCAGAGCAATTGAAACAATATATATATATATATAGCTGTTTCGAAAAAAAGGGTGTTGAAAAGGCGTAAGGGCCGGCCATTTACACGACGTCTAACCCAAAACGCGGTTTTACGCAAACAGTGGGCCTCAGGGTTTATCTCTAAGAGGGTTGATTTAATCAGATAAATGTCCTTCCACTTTAAGCTTTCGCCCTCTTGACACTGTTCGCAAGAATAAATGTTCAGATGAGAGGTTCAGCTAAATTGAAGATTGCTTGGGTTTCGGTTTTGTTAAACAACGGCTAAACTTTGTTTAAATGACCGGCCCTCAAAGTTCACGTGACAACCGACCTCAGGATTTCAGGGAAATCTAAAAAGAAAAGTCACTGTCAGAACAAAGCACCGTGGGTTTGAAAAATTTATTTATTCGACTTGTTTTAGCTTTGGTCCAAATAAAATGACGACAGCAACAACAACTACAATAAAAACGTCATAAGAACAAAGAAACTAAATGCAACTCACAGTTGATCCGGTTGCTCGTCATCCGTTGTAGAACGCCAGGTGTTGGAAGCCAACTGGAACAAAGTTAATAATGCGAAATTAATAACCTGTTTAATCAAAACCATAATAAAATTCTCGAACATGATTGGTTATCACCAGCCCGATTTGAGCACTATCTGGATGGTGTGGGCGTCGCGCTTGTACTTTTCCAGTGTAATTCAGTTTCCAGTGTAATTTTCCAGTGTAATTGGACAGTACACGTCATGTGCGAGCCTTCTTGACGCGCAATCCGCCGAGTTTAACGGTTGTTTTTTCATGAAAACGTATAACTGATAAATAGTTAGTTTGTTTGTATAATTGTGTAATAGTTTTGATTAATTGGTAAAAGAACTTCGTGTCGTCCAATACCCGTAATTAACAAATCGAACTCCCGAGATTTTGTCAGTCACTCGTATGATTACAGACCGAACTGGACTCTGACCATTACTAACTGAAGAAGTCTTCTTTTAGCTCCCTTTTGTCACAGTCAATACGGCTTATGCCGACATGTCTAATTCTCGCCTTGCGAATAAACTAATAACTGGTAAAGAACTTCATAATGTGAACCATTCAGAAATTTGCTACTCCAACAAAAAAGAACCAGAACTAAAATAAATATGAATATATAGCTCAGTAAGCCGATTTTACCTTTTGTCTTAGGTCATCATTGCTTCGTTTTAATTCTTTGAGATCCGCAGTCAGTTTGGCAATTTCACGGCTCTGTTTAAAAAAAAAAAAAATACAGAGCAATGACGGGGAAAAATACGCCTGCTCTCAATTGTTTCACAGGAAAACACTGTACACCACAACTAACCTGAGCAGTCTGCAGTTCAGTCTCTGAAGGCAAATACAAACTAGCTTGGTTAGTCTGTGGCACTGATCTTGCTTCTTTACGATCAATGTCGTATCGTAACATTCTAAAAGAGTAATAAAAAAATGTCAATTATGAACGAGGCGTATTGGAAGAGGGGGTTGTACCCTGTTTTTGTTTATGGGGGAGGGGAGGGAGGGAGAAGCATTTATTGTACTTGCGTACACCTATAGTCAATGTCGTACCGTAACATTCTAAAACGATTAATTAAAAAATGCCGATCATGAACGAAGCGTAATGGAACGGGGGTAGTACCCTGTTTTTCTTTAGGGGGAGGGGAGAGAGGAGCATTTACAGTGCTTGTGCGTACCTGTAGGCTGAGGATAGGTTCTCGTGCTTTTGTACCAAGTCTCTTATGGTAGCTTTCAATTCTCGCAGTCTGCTCTCTAAGACCTCTTCCTTTTTCTCGTGTGAATCTCTGATTTGTCTGACCATCATGTCAATGTACCCCTGAAATGACTCCACTGAAATCTGCTTCTCGTTCACCTTTCCACAGAACTCCTGTGAAAAAAACGAAAAGGAATGTTAACATCGATATGTTTTTGGAGCTCATTGGCTGTTTGTTGGCATGTTTTTGATTCTTAATCCAGGATTATAAAATAATAAGCGAGTAATACGCCATGTTGTCTGAGAATCGTACAGGAATGATGCTACGTTCCCTGTAAAAATGAGTCTTCGAGAAGTTTCTTGAAGATTTGGAGTTAAACGAGTGCGAGGGAAGAAGAGACTGTAAGAAGCTCTGACATCTCTCACCGCAATATCATGAATATACTGCTGAAGTCTGTTGGTATATTCCGCGCTGAGCTCTTTAAGGCGCAGGTCCAAGTTGTTATTCTCTTCCTGTAAACGGTGCCTTTCGCCGTTGGCGGAGATTAATTCCTTCATAATGCAACAGAATTATAAATATCAGTTACATTTTTAAAATGAAAACATTAAAAAAAGACTTACTGTATTTAATTTCTCCTTAGAATATCACCTCTGAATTACACATTAAGGTCACGAGTATAAAGAAAATGATCACCAATTAAAGAAGCTCCTGATTATAAAACAAATTCTCCTTGTCAACATTTTGGAAATGTAAAGAGAACGGTATGAAGAATATGCAGACTGATATTAGCGTGTAAAGGGTTAAGGGACATTATAGTGAGTGACACTGTGATTTTACGTTCAGCGCGGTAGGAAAGGCACTTATCTTACTATGTCTCTCTTTGGCAAGGAGAGCTAATGAGAAATTACAGTAAAAACAAAGCAAACTGCTTGAAGCGCGGGAAAACGCGGAAAAACACGGGTGACCAAGTCGCGATTGGCTTTAGTTTTGAATCTGATTGCTCGAGAAAGTGGCGCGAGTTCTCGGACCATTTACAAAGCAAAATAAAGCAATATACCATGGAACGTGTTCTGTTCTTCTTTACTTCGCTTTCTAAACTGAGTAGATCACAGAACAATATGGAAAACGCCATTAGGACGTTGAGCAATAGAATCTTATCCATGAATGGCAACCATCTCAAAGCTTTCGCTGTTTCTTATGAGCAAGATTTTATAAAGATTTCCCTCAAAAGTCGTGCTACGATATGGAGGCGACAGTCTGAATAGAAAGAGTATGGGCGTTTCTTTTTTGTCGGAATGAAAGTTTGCCTTTCTTGGCAATGCATGTCCTCTAAATATAATTTTCCCGGAGGAAACTCTAACTAGAGCAAGAAAAGCATTACTTACAGAAGACTGAAGGGCTAACTTCCGCTGAATCACTCGAAAAGATTCCTTGGAGTCTTTCAGCTCTTGTGCCAATTTGGATCTACAGAAACAAATCTTTTCGTTTTCAAAAACAGCAAATCCCTGTTACTAAGACCATCCTTACGTCTATGAAAAGCTAGTAGTTGGAGAACAAATACAAGAACAGAAAAAGCTCCATACATTCTGTCTTCCAACTTGACCAATTCTCTTTGATGTTGAGTCCTGAGAACCTCCACTCTTCCTTCGCGTTGTTGGTTGTTTTGAAATAACTGAAAAAAACAAAACATGAAAATGTTAGCAACCAACATGGGATCTCTATAAAGCCTTAAACTTCTTGCAATTTCTGACAGGTAATTCTCCAAACTGATGCCAACACATTCCTCTGCTATCAAGTACTGTAAATTTGTTGCTTTTTCTGAAGAATGCCTCACTGAGTGATAATTCTCTTTATTTTCACAACCGGTCAGTTGACTTCTTAACGAACCTCTTGAGAGAATTTGAGTACGGATCACTTATGAGATAAGACGAGTTAATCAACTGAGATTTTTGTTTTCCAAATCAGAAGAATTTCTCAGCTAAAAAGGTATAATTACAAAGAACTTACAACAAAAACCAGAATATTGGTGGAAAAGCCTCCAGATGAATGAATAATAAATAAATGATATGAGGAAAAGGCTACATCCTTTAAATCTTTAGATCAAATTTATATTAATTTACCTGTTTTTCAAGTTCAAGCTTCTCTGACTGTAAGGAAAGCAGGCTTTTGGACAAGTCATCCTGTATTCAATGAATATTCAGAAATTTAAGATTAGAATTAAACCATTAATAAAACTCCAAGTCTGTTTATGAACCAAGTGGCCCATCAGGCTGGCACTTAACTCTGATTTCCACAACATGAATCAACTAGGGGTATTTCTACTCCCCCCTGGATGGGATGCTAGTCCATTGCAGGGTTACCCC